TGATAGGTGATAGTAATTTCAGTAAAAAGTTGCTGGAAAATGTAATGAAAGTGGCAGAGGTCTGCATATATCTTGAAAGCAGAGACTACAAGATTTGCTGATTGATTAGAGAGGGTAAGAAAGAACTAAAAAGTGTTTTCAAATCTTTTTAGCCTGGGGGAGCCTGGGTGGCTCAGTGGGTTAAAGCCTCTGCCTTCGGCTCAGGTCATGATCCCAGGGTCCTGGGATGGAGCCCAGCATCAGGCTCTCTGCTCAGCGGGGAGCCTGCTTCCCCCTCTCTCTCTGCCTGCCTCTCTGCCTACTTGTGATCTCCGTCTGTCAAATAAATAAATAAAATCTTAAAAAAAAATCTTTTTAGCCTGAACAACCAAAAGGAAACAGTTGTAATGTGCTGATAAAGGAAAGATGGGTGGAAATGAAAGAGTAGAAGGAAGGTGGGGAAAATCAGAAGCTATATTTGGGGCAAGTCTACTTGCAGAAATGTAGTCAAGATCCAAATGTTGATGTGGAGTTGGCAGTTGGTTATACAAATTCAGGGAAGAGATCTGGATTGGAGAGATGGATTTTGGAGTCCTCAGTTTGTGGCTGATAATCTCTGAAACTGAATGAGATTTCTGAAAATATGCCTGTAAATAGAAAAGAAAGAGGTCTGAGGCTTAGCCTTACGGAGACTCAAACATGTCAAGTCTGGATAGACAAGGAAATATCATCAAAGGAGATGGAGAGAGACAGTCAATAATATGGGAAACAAATCAGGAAATGTATTGTTCTGGAAGCCAGGTGAAGAAAGTGTTTAAAGGAAGAAATGATTGCCTACATCAAATGTTGCCAATTAGGACAAATGAGATAAAGACTGAAAATTGACCGTTGATTTAGCAATGTGATCAGTATTTCTTCTCAGTGGGGAGAAGAAAATGAAATCTGACAGCCAGAAGTGCTGCCTCATTTGAAGTCCTCCTTACATAACCCTGGATCCCATAGTTTTCAGGAGCTGAATGGATTTTGGAATTTATTTTATTCTATGATGCTCCATTACTCAATTCCTTATGTCTATGCCTGGTCTGATTTCATATTGGTATTTTCAAGTTGATCTTCAAAAAAATTATGTGAAAGAGACAAATATTATTATCACTGTTTCTTAGGAAATACAGTTTTAAGAGACGATAAATGTTTTATCGTTACACTTCTGGTTAGTGCAAAGTGGTGACCTCAGCCCAGGGCTTCTGACTTCTAGAACTTTCTCCTGCTCCATTAATTTCTAAGAGAGTGATTGATGCCTCCTTCCTTTTTCTTTGGACTTTCCTTTATGCGTTGCCCACTTCTTTTCATAACTTCTGTTTACTCTTACTTAATCCCTTGAATTTGGGTCCTTAGATTTTTTTTGAACACCTGCATGCCATGACCTTTAAGGACAAACATCAATAGAACCTTAGGGCTTCAGGGAATTTGGACTTCTGCCAGGCTACAAATCCAGATAATAGTTTCATATCACCTCATGACCATCCTTCCCTGCAGGATTTGCTTTCTTCTACTACCCAGCATAGGAGAAAGTTTGGGTAAATGACCAGCACTGTACCATTGAACATATATCTCTCCATTCTCTTGTTACAAAGATAATGATTATAGAGTTCAACATCCAAGTACTCAGTAAATATTGTGAGTCTGATCTCATATAATATACTCATTCTCCTTTTTCCTGTCCTTGTTCCTGAGTCTTTCGAAGAGTTTTTCTTCTTTCCACCCTTGTATTCAAACATAAGAAGTCCATAGTATTTTAATGACTTAAGAGATCATTTTACAACAGACATCTATCTTCAAGCTGACTTCTCAGTGATGTCAACTCATTACCATTCACACACATAAGCATCCATTTGGGAAAAAATATTGGATTAATCACAACTTTTAGATCATAAAACATGAATGACAAACACCAGGCAGGCAGTGGATTGTATCAGTATCTGTTTCCTGGTTGTGATATTGTATAAGGCAAGATGTTACCAGTGGAGAAAACTGGGCAAAGGGTATTTAAGACCTCTGTTTTACTTCTTAAAACTGTATGTGAATCTACAATTATCTCAGAATAAAAAGTTTAAAATTTATACAGGTAAAAGGACATCCATGGGCAGACTTCTTTTTCTAAGACCTTCAAACTGTCATATATGATGCTGAGGAGGGAAGGCACAACAGAAATTGTGCTCTTAGGCAGAAGCTAGCATGCTGGCCTTTGGAAGTGGTATAAAAAAGTCACAGAAGCTAACAGATAAATAGCAGTCTGGATAAAGAGAGGTGGCAATGAATATGAATTTTTATTTTAGCACCAAATATAGTCGTGGCGTTTGCAGTATTACTGTTAGTATAGAGTCCACCTCCAATCAGCTGCCACAGTCCCAGTCAGCCACCTGCTGCAAAATCATGTATTTTTTTTTTTTTTTTTCACAAGAATTGTTTAATCTATGTATCTGGCTGGTCATCATTCCAATTTCCAAAGCTAAATCAAACATGTTGTCCTTGTTTCCACTCCATCTCTTTTCTAGTCTTCTGGCCTTCCCCTTCCCAGGATTTCTTAAGATCATTGACTCCACTGACGGAAGTCAGACTTCTGACCGCCTAATAAGTAAGTTCACCAGTGAAGAGCCTATTTTTCCTTCTGTTTAATTGCAGGCTTCAGAGACACTCAAAATGGAGGGTGTCCTAGGGACAAATAATACTGTAGGCTGGGTTTACTTATCTCCTGTTGGCATCGGCACCAAGCCCTTCCTCTGCTTGTAATTCATGGCTGTGTCTGTGGCTGCATACTAAGCAGACTGCGGCCGCCACACAGCCCGTCCAGATGCCTCTCAACTAATCCACATACCTTAACGGCCAGTTCCAGTTCAGAGCCGTAGTTTAGGTAACTAACACTGCTGATTTGTTTCTAGTGCAATCCAGGTAAGCCATCATAAATTAAGTCATGTATTATCCTTTGATTTGGAGGTGGTGAACTATGCTGGGACTTGAACCACCACGTGCTTGTTCCGAATTCTGGATGATTGGCTTCAAAATTGACCCTTGGAAATGTATGTATGTACAAAATGATTAAATGGCAGAACTAAGAATAAAATCAAACATACAAGAAGCTGTGAAAAATAAATTTCCCTCCTACTCATGTTTCCTCAGACTCTCATTTCCCTTATACAGAGAAAATCACTGTTAATAGTTTAAAGCAGAGACATCTTGTGCATATATGAGTATATGTGTGTATGTTTCATAGAGAGGGAAGACACCATAGCTGTATTTCCCTAATGATTACATAAAAACCAGCAGGCTGTACACAGTGTCCCACAATTTGTTCCTTATACTTAGTGATAACTCTTTTTTTTTTTTTTTAAGATTTTCTTTATTTGACAGAGAGAGACACAGCAAGAGAGGGAACACAAGCAGAAGGAATGGGAAAAGGAGAAGCAGGCTTCCCGCCGAGCAGGGAGCCCGATGCTGGGCTTGATCCCAGAACCCTAGGATCGTGACCTGAGCCGAAGGCAGAGGCTTAATGACTGAGCCACCCAAGCGCCCCACTTTATGATGACTCTTAGAGGTCTTTCCTTGTCAGTAGCTGCAACCTATTCCACCTTCCTTTCTATCATCGACCTATCTATCTAGTTATCTAGATATCTATCTATGTATTTTCAGTAATTTCTACATCCAGTATGGGGCTTGAACTCACAACCCTGAGATCGAGAGTTGCAGGCTCTATCATTGAGCCAGCCAGACCTGCTGCTATGCCTTTTTAAACAGCTGCTTAGTATTTTGTTGAGCAGATATAATCCTTTTGTATTTACGTAAGCAGCCCCATTTTGATGGACATGTGCTGTTTCTAATATTTTATTACCAACAATGCTGTGTGAACATCATTGCATGTAATAATTTGTGCTACTTGTAATAGTATCTGTAGGATTTATTCCCAGAAGGATTCCTGACCAACAGATATATTCAGTTTTTAGGTTAATAGGTATTGCCTAATTGTCTTCCCAAGAGGCTCTACAGTTTTCCCAACCATGTAAGAGAGGACTTACCTCCCCGTAGCTATCTCTCTTTGCTCTATTATCCTTTTTATCAACTTGCCATGCTGATTATAATTGCAAGCAATATGTATCTTATTATGAGTATGGTTAAGCACCTTACAAACCATTTGCTCCATTCTTTCCACCTAACCACTCAGTTCTTCATCATTCCTTGAATAATGTCTATTCCTCACTAGCTTGAAATGACAATTGAAATCTTTGTTTATTTCAATCTGTTTTTGAATTCTATTCCATTTTATTTATCTTACTGTTTATATGCATCCATATCAGTTTTTGTAAACTTCTATACTTTTCTAATGTTTTAATATAAATTAAATTCGTGCCTCTTTATTGTCCTTTTCCAGAAATTTCCTAGACATTTTGCAAGCTTTTATTTATTTATTTGTTTGTTTGTTTATTTGGCAGTCGTGTTGGAGTTGTTTCATCAAACATTGAAATATGCACTGTTTAAAAGTAGGGCGCGATCATCATGAGACAAGGAAAGCTTTATGCCCAAGGTTGAGTTAGACCTGGGACTGAAAATGATGTGTAGGAAAAGAAGAGGTAAAAGGACCAACAAAGGGAAGAAAATTAAACATTCCAAGTAGCAGATCCTGTATAAATCCCAGAAATGCCCTAGAATAAAACATGGTCTTGAATGCCCTAGGTTATTTAAGCAGCCAGCTAGTTTTGCAGGTCAGCATGTATAACCCTGACTTCTGAGGGCTTGACAAACAGTACCAGGGTTCTGACCTTACACTGAAATTCCTTGAACTCTGAGTACCTGTGAGCACGCACCCAACATGCCTGCCCCCCAGTGAGTGTGCACATTAAAAGTCACAAGGAGCATCATTAATGAGTGCTTCGGTGGGAAGCATAACTTAGAGGCTAACAAGTTCCAAGGAAAGAAGGAGATCAACACAGAAGCCCAACCACTGGCTTCGAGCAGCTCGTTCCTTAAGTATGTTGGGACCCAGACCTTTTAATTTTACTTCAGTGTTCTCAAAAGCAGGAACCTCGTGTTTGCCACTATTCCAGGTAACCATCTCTCTTTTTGGGAAAAGATTTCCAGGGGTACTCTAAGAAACTGATTTGTTCTAGATTTGTTTTTTGGGTAACTTAACTATTCTCACATTTATAAGATTTCCTCTAAGACGGTGTTACCACCAGCTTATGACTTACATATTTATTGGTGAGAAATACAGAAGACAAAATGGTCCATGTCATTAGTCTTATTTCTTCTTTATTAGTTCTACTGCCATTGAAGTAATATGACACAATGTAATCTTTGCTTAACTTTGCTAGGCTGTGCATTTTTTTTTTAAATAAAAATTACTGCTGATAAATCCAAATGCTGTGGCAGGATTAATTTAAGACATATTTACTGTTGCCTACAACTGTCCTTGAGGCTTCCCCATTTCTCAGTGCTGAGCAACGCAGACAGACCCATCTTAGAGTTTATTTTGGTTCCTCTACTTTTTTTAGCATCTCATTCAGACTAATACCTGCATCTCTGTATCTGTGTTACTTGAATGCAATGTATCTGAAAGATTTCAGTCCTGCTCATCATTTCGTGATAACCCCGAGGTCCGTCAGCTAAAGCATCAGCAGTGAGGTAGGAATAATGGATGACTGTGGACTCCTCGCTAGGTAGGGCACAGCACAGGAGACTGGGGAGTGACTTGAAAATGAAATGCAGACTTTATTTATCTGTTAAGCTGGATCCCTAATGATTTCATCTACTCATAAATAAACTTTCTTTATGGACAAAATTTGAATGTTCATTTTCCTCTCTGTTAGTATGCAAATCTATTTGCTGCATTCGAGCGAAAGAGAGTGCAACTCATTTTCTGGGCTTATAAATTGTTCATTACCATGCTCTCTGATGGCCAATTCATGGCTCCATCTGCAACTCGACAAATCTCTTTGCCTAGATAAACTTGGTGGAGTAAAATATAAGGTGCCGAAGAAGATGCATTTGGGATTAAAGGGGGAAAAAGATATATTTCACAAAAATCCCCGAGCTTATCATTTTAAATTTTGTAACTTCATACTTGTATTCATATTTGCATGGTATACTCTAGGATAATAAATACTTCACTGATCTCATTAACCCAAGTTTAAGAGCCACCTATGAATGACATGTAAAGATTTTCTCATTGTCCCTGGAAAGAGTCTCAGTTTAAGGGAAAAACAAACCTGCAAATAAAACCTCTAGAACAGAGTATTTCTTTCCTCTGTGATGTGTTATTTTAACCGGTAAGGCTCAACACAAAGAACTAGGATAATTATGTTAAAATGCTGATGGTTTGGGTCATTTAAAACAAAGCAATCAAGTTTACTACCTTTTCTCCCTTCTTTGGTAAAGACACACATGTAAATCTCAACAGGACTGTCATGTAATTTTAAATGGACCTTCCCCCCTTGGAGCTAGTTAAAGTCACTCCTTCATGCAAATATTTAACACCCATTAATGCTAATGGGATGGACTTCTGTTTTCACATAAGGAACTTGATTTCTTTGTGTGAAAATAATACTCCGCAAATAATGAACTTTCTTCCACCAGCTAAAATGTGAAAACAAAAAAATGCAAGGTGCAAGGAAGGTCTTTCGAGCAAACAATATCTGCCTATAGAAAGAACAAAAGGCATTTTCACATCCCATCCGTCTACTGTCGGATAGGAATCTGGCTCAAAATATGTATTTCCTGTCACCGCTGAGCTAGAGAATCTACCGGGAGATTTTTTTTCAATTAAAATTCTGTGCACCAATAATGGACTCTGCTATGGAGCTTTTAATTAAAAAAACAAACGGAATGATATAAACCCACATTGTCTCTAAGCGCTGTTTGTATTAAAGGATTAGACTGATGAGATGTTTGGATTTTATTGTTCTAAACATGTGTTTCAGTTGGTGCTCTCGGACCCACCATGTGAAGAAAGTGAAATGTAAGTAAATAGCAAGAGGCTTCATGTTTTTATTTAGCATTTTCAAAATTCAAAGAATAAAAAAAGGCTCAAGTCATTTGAGAAGCCCCAAATGAGTCTCGAATGATGATTATAATCATGCAAGAAAAGTAAGAGCAAATTGTTTTTAAATGCAAATGGCTCAATTTTTCTAAAAGCAGGAAAAGAGACACTTTCATTATGATTAGCTTTGGCAAATATAAGGAGCCTCATTGATTTCTAGGTATTTTTGCTCACTGCATTCTCCACCAGAGTGGTAGCAAGGGTTCTTCAGGCTCACAAAGATGTCATCTTCGTCCGCACCCCCACTTGGAAGTCACAGTGTTGGTGGGCCACCATTTTCTGGGTATTCAGTTTCAAATATAAGCCAACTGACAAAGATTCTCACCTGTATTCTGTGTACATTTCAAAATGCATTTGATATACGTTATGAGAATAACTGACTCAATTTTCTCACTTTGGGGACCGTCAACTTAATGGTTCCCAGAATTCTATTCTGGACTTGGGGGAGAAGGTGCCATTAATAATGCTGATGATGATTAATAAGAGCTGTAATGCACTATAACTTAATGCAAGTGTCAGAAAAGCATGTCTGCCAAGCACGGCCTTCTCGGTGCAGCCCTGATGACCAGGTGGCTCTTTTCAATTATTATTACCTGTCACCCTCAAGGTCAAAGTCTCATGGCCTGGGCGCTGCCTCCAGATGAAGAGGCCGTGCTATGTGGAATGCCTTCCTTGGCCCTGGAACCATTCACCTGCTTTGGTGGATCATCTCATTATTGATCATCTGTGCTTTATGTCTATGCTCTTCTTCCAGCTCTGGCATGGCTGACTCTCCACTGCTCTTTCTTTGTGTTGATTTTGGACTCCCCTTTTTCTGTCTTCTGGTGTTTATAACATGATGGAATTTTTCATGCCTGATGTACTTACCTAACTCTGGACCTCCTAGCTGCCTCATCTTGCCCAGTCATCTCCTATCTTTGACCCAGCATAATAGAATACAGAAATTTATAACTGGAAAAGATCATAAATGTTGAATCTAATTATTCAATCAATATGATCATAAATGTTGAATCTCATTCTTCGATCAATAGAACAGGAAAATACGCTACAGAGGACATTGATAAGCGGACTTTCCAGTCACTGAGGCTACTGGTCTCCTTTTTAGGGGAAGAAATTGAGACCCAAAGACAGTAGCAAAGTAATGCAGGGCTTCAGCTAGTTCTGAAGTACAATTTTTTTTTTAGCTACCTCACTTTGCATACAAGTGTCTACTGTGTTTGTCATTAATACCACTGCTTTTGAATGAAAAGAAGAGACTACCTCAAATATAATGCCTAGCATTATAAATTTATTTTCTGCCCTAGCAGAAAATAAAAAGAGAGGGCAAGAAAGTAGCTGGTATTGCAGAGAGGTGATATTAGGTAAGTATTTGTACCAAAGATAGATGCCAAATCTTTTGCCACTACAAGGTATTTGAGAGATGATTAGTTTTATTTATTTTTTTTCAAACCCAAACTATTTTTTATGATCTGAACTACTCAATTTATTTTTATAATGGCTTTTCATTAGTATGAATAATACATTGCTAGGCTGTCTTTGTATAAAATTTAAATATCATAAGTAATTTAGTATATGAAAAAAACTAGATAGAGCCTCCCCATTACAGCCCAATCCTTTTCCCTCCTCAAAATAAGCAAGTACACTGATACACTCATGTACATATATATTCATAAGTAGAGTAACTTATAAATATGATCATACATCCACAGGATTTTGTCAATTAATTGCATTAATAGATTCTGGATATCTCACCAACTTATCTGACTCGAGGAAGTTAAGTGTTTTGCTCGAGAGTAAGCAAGTAAAAAGCAGAGCTTGGATTTGGACCCAGGACTGACTCCTGAACCAGAATTTTACTCTACGAAGTATGTATATGTACCATACATATATGCGTACTATATGTACTACTATACCACTATATATATATTACAAATTTGCACCATAAAGCTGTATTGTATGCCCAATGTTAAACGAAATTATACACTGGGTGAAATACCTGAGGATATATGGTTCATCTATTCTTCTAGATACTATACAATTTATCTTGGATTAATGAGGTCAAGCCACCACTCCAGGTGATATGATACAGTACCCATCTCTCTCCCAGATTGTTATAGCTAAGTGCACTTTTGCCTACGTTAAGGGATGATTTAAAAAAGAAAAAGATCCATGAAATTTGTTATTCCATTTATTCTAAGAGCATATGAAAAATGTTGTCCCCATTGCCAACAGAATCCTCTTCATAAAGCCCAATAGTTTGAATTCTTCTCTAGTGTCTACTCCAGGAATAGTTGTGCATCTGGTGAGTAATGCTGCATGATTTTGTTAATTTTAGAGGATACTATATAACCAAGTCTCTCTCTCATCCTATTAACCTCTAGAAAGCTTAAGCCAGATCCCGAGTTGGGTTAAATTCTTCATATGGGGTTTACTATATTCAATTTAAAAACTGATCTCACTCTTGGCTTATTCTTTTTGTGTGATACGCTCCATGCTCTCATTTCTATTACTTTTTGTATTTCTAATATTTTTAAAGCATTTTGGAACACAGAATATTGAATGCATTCAGGCAGTACCCCCCATAGTAATTTGAGGTCAGAGCTGGCTTTTCCTCTTCCCAGTGGTGGGGCTGCACGGTAGTAAGACTCATTCTCCACAGCCAGACCATTTGGGTGTGAACCCCAACTCGGCCACTTGCAGCTTTGTTATCTTGGGCAAGTTACTTCATGCCCGAATTTTCCCAATTGTACAATGAGGATTATAATATTGTGACCTTACCTCATAGCATCGTGAATCTGAAAGTGAGTTAATTCCCTCTGAAATTATATAACTGGTTTAGAAGAATGCCTGGCACAGGAAGTTCTGGCTAAATCTAGCAAAGGAGCCACCGGAGCAATTCTGTAGTTTTCTTCTCGAATTTTTCAAATTGAGGAATTTGTAGTTAGACTTAGGTCCACAGAATCTCAGCGCTGAGAAGAATGATAAAGGTCAACTAGGCTAATCATCCCTGTAAAGGAAAAATCATCTCCATAACATTCGGGGGCAGTAGTTTTACACTAAAGTCAGAAAAAAATCCTTCAGCAACCACTTCGAGAGAACACTCATGATCGGGAATGTCTTCCTTAAGCTTCATAGTTGGTTCTCTTTTCTCCTGAATGTTTTTTGTTTTTGGCATCATCCCAATTTGACCAATAATATATAAATCTCTGAGTAATTGCTTCACTTTAAAAAATGTAATTTTCCCTACGCTGAATATCTTCCATTTAAAATTTGAGCAATTAGGGGCACCTGGGTGGCTCAGTGGGTTAAGGCCTCTGCTTTCGGCTCAGGTCATGATCCCAGGGTCCTAGGATCGAGCCCCACATCGGGCTCTCTGCTCGGCAGGGAGCCTGCTTCCTCCTCTCTCTCTGTCTGCTTCTCTGCCTACTTGTGATCTCTGTCTGTCAAATGAATAAATAAAATCTTTAAAAAAAAAAAAAGCCTTGTTTTAAAAAAATTGAACAATTAGAATATTGTTATTGTTCTGATACTTTTTTAAGAATTAAAAAAAAAAATCTGTTTAGGGAGCACCTGGCTGGCTGGCTCAGTTGGTAGAGCATGTGTCTCCTGATCTCAGGGTTCTGAGTTCAAGCCCCACATTGGGTGTGGAGTCTACTTAAAAGAAAAAAAAAAAAAGAATTAAAAAAAAAAATTTTAAAAATTGATCTTGCGGGGCGCCTGGGTGGCTCAGTGGGTTAAGCCGCTGCCTTCGGCTCAGGTCATGATCTCAGAATCCTGGGATTGAGCCCCGAATCGGGCTCTCTGCTCAGCAGGGAGCCTGCTTCCTCCTCTCTCTCTGCCTGCCTCTCTGCCTGCTTGTGATCTCTCTGTCAAAATAAATAAATAAAATCTTAAAAAAAAAATTGATCTTGCAAAAGACATGGAAATAATGGTGGGGAAAGGAGGAAAGCACACAGAGTCAGAAGACTTGTAATCTGGTTTGAGTTCTTTGACCAGCTAGTGATCTCCACAACTTCTCTACTCTGGGTTTCAGTTGTAGAGTATGTAAATTGCTGAGTGAACTAAATGCTCCCAAAGGTGCCTACAGTTTGGAAATTCCATGATCACTTTGCATTTGTCCAGCTAACTCCTTCTTGACCATTGTATTTATTGCATATCAGAAACTCCAGCAGTGATTGCACAAGATCAAAAAGAGAAGTAAGTCAATTTGGATAATTGTTATCACTGGCAAAAAAAAAAAAAAAAAAAAAAATACTGAGTGGCTTAAAATTTAAAGAACTGAGAAACAAATTGAGGTAGTTAATCTTTAAAATTGACATTTTGATAAGAATGAAGTCTATTCTTAAATGTTGAGAGGGTAAGCAAAGATTTTTAATGGAGGGAGATGAAACAATCCACACTCCTGATTATGTGCTTACTTTTCAATTTCCCAAATAGGAAATTTCTACTCTTTTGTTGGGCTAGAACACCTAGAGAATGTCCCTAGGTCTATAGTGGGATACTGTATGTTTAAGATTTATATTTTTTTAATATAATACTTAAAATTTTTATGACTATAAAAGTGATGTACATTTAAAACATATGGAAATGTGGGAAAGATAAAGCGCCTCATGATACCAACTGTAAGGGAAGAAAGCATTGTTAGTAACTCGGTGTATAGGAGTATACTACTACAAAACACCTAATTAGTGAAAACATTGCATTTATGTAATAGAATATACAAAGTAGAACTGAGCCCTCTTTGTTATTTTACTTCACAAGGCTTTTGATGATAAGTATGAATCTTCTTGATGACTGGATAACATTCCTTTATAAGGATGTCTCATTAATTATTTTTAAAATCCTTTATCGATGATTGCTTGTCTTAGGATGCCTTCTAAAATTATACTTCAACTGCCATATTTCCCCAGCCGTTTGCACCTGTGTCTTTACGTGAATATACACACACACACACAAAGCCTACAACACAAAAAACGAAAAGCCTGGGTGATTAACTTTCCTCTTAAATGTTTGGGGTAAAATTTTTACGTTGACACTTCACATATGTTAAAAAGTCACTTCCCACTAGAACGATGATAAACATGACACACTGTCTCCTTGGAGAGGCTGGGAGCAATAAATTAGCTGACAGTTATGAGTGATTTCAAGCTGAAAAGTACTGAGTGTTATTTTAACAAAAACTGAAGTAGCCATGATTAAGTACAGCTCCAACTCACAGACTTACCGGACTGTGATGAACAGGTTTCCACTGCTTAATCCCAGAATACTTCGACAATGCCCATTTACCAAAGTATGAAAAAAGTCCATCGGCACACCTACATTCCCAGTGCCTGGCATAGCGACGGACTCTGCGATAAATAGCACAGAAGTGGTTTAGGTTAGCTAAGCCTCCCGAAAATCACACCGTGAACTTTGTTTTCGTGTGAGGAAACGTTTTAAAACTTATCCCAGGAATGATTGCGTTGTGCCTAGACACTCAATTGGTTTGACCATCCTGACTGAAAGAATCAACGTCACACTCTTTGGTAAATGGCACGTGTGGCCACTTTCAGTCATTTCCCCCTTTTCCCAACTTCTTCCTCTAACCAGGTCTGCAGCCTGGCTATTCTCTACCAAGATATTAAAGGTTAACAGAAATTATAAACCTTCCCTGGTGAATCTGCATTTTAAAGAAATTTCATACCTAATATCTATGACATGTTACCTCTGAAAAGTTAGTCTCCATCTTCCCAATACACAACTGTCATCATAACTCTAGAATCAAACCTTACGACCATGAAATTGCCTATGTGTGACAGTTGCACATTCACCTGTATTCTCAGGTATTCCCAGTCCCGAATGAACTGGGCATATTGCGACCATTTGGTTCATTGTGCAGGGAGGTGGTACACAGTGAGTACATGATTGTTCTGGGAAAATAGGTACAGTCAGAACAAATATTATGGTCCAAGAGAATAGGTTTTGGCCATCCAGAGGTCCAACATTAACTCTTCTTCTTTTACCACCAGGTGCATAAACTATAAAGATCGATACACAAGTGACTGGTATATCTGGTAAGGATAACCCCAATTTGTTATAAAACCTTTGGTGATGTATATATACTCTGTTTCCTAAATAATAAAAATGGCACATAAAATCATAGAGTTAAGGAAATTTTAAAGGTCATGAAATATATGTGGAAACATCACGTTCTGATTTTTGGTTAGTGTTTACTAATGTACTTCCTGTGACAGGGAATTTAAACTGTTTTGGGAATAGTTTATTCCCAAATTAGAGAAATTTAACAATAAATAATTGTTTTTCCTTTTGAAATCTCCCTAAATGACTCCAGTACTGATTTCAAAATTCCTAAAAACCTTCAAAATAAGACTTCTACCTTTTACAAGCTGTCCTTCAGAAACTGTTAGACAGTAGTTATACACCTTCTACATCATGACTTCTGTATTTTTTAAATGAAACATTATTAGTTCTCTCAATTAAGTGGTTAGATCCTGTCTTGTCTACTTTAAATCCCCAACCCCACCCAACATCTACAACTGCCTCAGTTGCTTAACTACTCGTTGAATGCATGGCTGGCTGGCCGAAAGAGAGGAGTAATGGATGAATGAATTAAGGGACAAAGACACTGTTCCTTGGAATAACCTTCAATTTCCAGAGGAAATGATCATCATCCCCTGGCAAGATCGACCCACTCTGAGCACCATAAATGTTCCAAGTTTAGCAACAGTATATGAGTAGTGGTGGGGGATTGCTTAAAGAGTTTGGCCTCACAGATTTCTTGCACCCTGTCTCCTGGAGCTCTTGCACCCTTTCCAGAAGCAGCAGGAGTTCCTAAGCTCTCTGCATGCTCCACCTCACTCCTTCTCTGCTCCTTCTCGGCATCAGGATCTTGCTGCTGATTTTCCTGGTGACTCTCCTCTGTGGAGTCATGTTCTTCTGCTTCCAGTGCTGGCTGAGGAGACCCCGAATGGAATCCCCAAGACGCACCATGGCTGTTTTTGCTGTTGGAGACTTGGACCCCGTTTATGGTGAGCTGTCTGCACACTTCTAAACTTCCTGTTTGAAACCTAATGGTTTGTGGTGAATTGAAGAACTAACCTCTTGAAAAGCAAATTTGTGAACTGAGAACAAGACATGGTTTATTGGAGACCCAAAGGTATGCCGTGGGGAGAGAGTCTAAGTGAGAAAACTTCAGAAGAAAGGAGACCTCAAAAGAAAAAAAAATGTGAATTAGGGAAATGACCCATAGTTGAGTATGGCAATAGAACCTCAACCTCTTGTTCAGTCAACATGCAAAAGAGAAGAGATACACAGGGCTGGTCACTCCAAGTGAGGGGTAAGGTGTAAGGTACACAATAACCTCTTCGAGCCTTTGATATCAAACTGTCCTGCCCTGGTGTTCCTATAGTGTCATTACTAAGTTCTCCATGCCTCACTTATCTGCAGTAACATTGAGCCATACTTTCCAGATTGTCTGCTACCAATGGATAGCCTGAAATACTTGGAATTGGGCAGGCGGGTGTCAATGCTCATGTCCCTTCTCCCCAGACAGGGGCAGCACCCTGATCCTGCCTGTTTCCAACTCCCACCCCCAAAATGACGCCCATCCTATTATTTTCCAGTCTGCATGAGAGAGTAAGCAATGGAGGGAAGCCAGGCTTTAGAGTTATTTGTAACTGCCAGCCTTAGTTGTAGGTAATACAATTATCACTTACTGGTTTCCGGGAGATCACAGGTCATAGATTATTTCTTTGTGTTAAGCATTGTTCTCAACCAAACCATCTGTCATGAAACTCCCTCTGAGGTGCTGTCTTGTACACCATACATAGAGGCCTCAAGAGGGCTTCGTAGAGATTAATAGCTGTGCTTCAGGAACTTGGGCCAGCATAAGATTTTCAATGGATGGAACAGGGAAAGCCCTGGGAAAACTAACAGCTAAATAAAAGGTGGAGTAAAAATAAACCTAAATGTTTTAATATCAAAACTTGGTACTCGGGACGCCTGGGTGGCTCAGTGGGTTAAGCCGCTGCCTTCGACTCAGGTCATGATCCCAGCATCCTGGGATTGAGTCCCACATCGGGCTCCTTGCTCAGCAGGGAGCCTGCTTCTCCCTCTGCCTCTGCCTGCCACTCTATCTGCTTGTGCTCACTCTCCCTCTCTCTCTCTCTCTCTGACAAATAAATAAATAAAATCTTTAAAAAAAAAAAAAACTTGGTACTCAAGATTTAGTGATTATATTAACTATTGGCTTTCTAAAAAGTCATTATTTAACAAAAGAAACACATGTCTATTTGAGAAATGGTTATTTGCAGAAAGATAATTAGAGTCTCCAATGAAAAAATCATCTTTCGCCTAAAATCAAACACTTTCTATTGAGCATAGAAGGAAATAGGGCCACCAACATTCTTATAAATTGTATTAGTCAAAGGGGTCAACATGGTCACATTGGTCTATTTTTATTTATTTAACTTGAGGCATTTAACAAATAAATGTAATTATGATACCTCCAACTTGACTTGAGTTTTTAAGGAGGATAATCCACTCTGGTCTTCTTAGGCCTTTATGTACTCTGAAGAAGACTCTTTTACTAGACTGTCTTGAATCATTAAAAACTTCTCTTCTTAATTGTAAGCAAGCTGTAGTAACCAGTTGTAGTGTTATCATTTTTAAGGCAGTGTATGTGCCACAGTTATATCCCCATTTTTCTGATGTTTTTATATTTCCTGCTTGGTGATTTACACATATGCTTTTGATTTGCCTGAATGTGCCTGAACAGGTATGATTGGGAGAGAAGGTGTCAAACCTGTTAGATTATGGCAATAATCTGCATGTAATCATACCAAATGCAGGGCATTAGAATTGCATTCTCTGTCATTGTGGACAGAAAAAGAATATACTTGGGAAGAAATTATTTAAAAAAAATATAGTCACAATTTATTTCACATCTACCAAGTATTAGGCACTAAATTAGGGGCTTCTCAGATATTATTCCTAATTGCTAAATACCAACCTGGGAAAGTGGCTATTATTCCTCTCAGAAGATGTTATATACGTTTCTCCCTATGCTGGATGAATATACCACATAGATCTTTACTGCAAGTCAACTAATACACTTCAAATTGTCCACTATTGAGGGTAGGGAGCCAGTGAAAATCGGGGCAGGTCACTTTATTCTTTCCTCTAAGTGATCCTGTATCTCAGACCTCTAGGCATTTCCACTGGGTGAGTCCTCAAAGGTAGGTTTTGTTCTCCAGAATCCCCAGTCCCTTTCTCTTTCCATTGGTTCCTTCCTGATGCCACTGGTATCTCTCGGAATCTTATGTTGCTCAAGAAACTTTAAATCTCTCCTCTAGCTCAAGTTATATTACAAAACTCATTTTTGTTGTTTGCTACTTTCCATTCTAGGGCCAGAGGCTCAGTTGCCCATTCCTATTTTTTTTTTTCCTTGCCTAGTTGGGTGTTAGGTTATCCCACCTACTACCCATCTCCCACCCTTTCTAAGGGATGCTCAGAAGAGCTACAGGCAGTGAACAGCCATTTGCATGGTTTTTGATGTGGAGATGTCTCCCAGAGTTGTGCTTCCTGGAATTCCTGTTTTTCCCCCTCCCAAGCAAAATACAATGGAGTAATTGAGGAAGTGGTATTCTCTGTGATCTTTAGTGACATCTTCTTGACTAGCAATTTCTGAAAGTAAATTCCAGGGAGTCAATATTTTAAGGCAGTCTGAAACCCAGACCCTGACTGGATTTCTTTCCCCCACTGGATCCCCATTATACTTTCATTTCTCCTGACAAATGATTCTTCCTGCCTCTTATTTCCGTAAAAGCAGGTTTTCTCCAAAAGGAAAATGAGGGAACCACAACAGGACCTTTTTATGGCTACAGAGGAGGTAAGAGCCAAACTCTCTTTAGAGATTGGCTACTCTACTCTACTGAGCACAAAGTATGTGCTCATAGCTTTGAGTTGAGTCCAGTCTCCACCAGATTCACACATCCACACTGATGGTTGTGGGGTGGTACCTCAGGATCTTCCTCATTGTCGCAGTTCAGAAGGGAGAGGAAAATGAGAACTCACTTGAAAGACACTGGTGACATTAGAATATGAAATAAGGTTTCTGGACTCCCTGCCAACCTTTTGAGCACAAGGGGAAGATAGGACATTCCCTCCTGAAGATAGGAATTCCCTCCTGAATGTAGGAAATGGGTCATTTAAAGCATTTTAATGGCTAGACTAGATTTTCTTTATTAACCCTGGGGTTCTTCCTAGACCTTTACTTTATTTCTTCAAAAATTATCTCATGCTATTGCCACTATTTGCTGAATCTATTAGTTGAAATAGTTCTGCTCTTCTAACCAGTGGGTCCAAGGTTTGACTCTCAGGATCCCATGAAAGCTGCCCTCACGTGACAAGCCAAGAGGAGAATTTTGATGGAATATGGAAAGCTGGGATGGACTAAAATTTACTGCTATTAAAATATATAAAATGGGAAATTTCTTCCACTAACAATACCAGACAGCAGTATTATGGCTCAGGTTGTCAATTATCTTGATTAGAAATATTCAAGAGACAAAGACAAACACTTGCTTGGGATCCTCATAAACAGTGTGCCAGCCCAACGCACCCAATGCACGATGATATTTCTGTCTGGGAAAGGTCCTTGGGAATCTCACACAAATACCCAGGCCCCTGTTGCATCTCATGTGCCAGTAGGCAGGTCTTTTCACAGTTCTCTGCTGATCTAGTACTCAGATTCCTCAGTCTTTCCTCTTCTCTCATGGGATCTATGTTTCTATGTCCATAGCATGTCCAAAAAGGGGGAAAGAATCCCTCCAATATCCCCATGGAGGGTAAGGAAAAAGAGCGAGAACTGCTAGAGAAAGAGGAAGGGAGGGAGACCAGAAGGAAGCCAGGAAGGTGGAGGGAAAGGGGAAGGATGAAGAGTAGAGGAGAAGGAATCTACAGTTGGAGGTTGGAGGTATTTTGAGGAATGAAATGAATAATGATTTATTTTATGCAAGCCCTAGGTCATGTTACTTTTTTCTGCCTCAGTCCCACCTCCTCTTCCAGGACCCAGCCCCCAGATAGTTTCTCTTCTTCCGTTATCACCCAACACCCCTCCCCACTCCCAGCTCCTCTCATGGATCCAGTGTTCCCTTAGCATCACTGCTGTACCCCCAGAAAGGACCTGTTCAATGCCCTACACCTTCCTCTGTGAGGTTCTCTGTGAAGTGATCTCTGGAACCTCTTGCCCTTTCTCTCAGCCATCAGACCCTAACAGTTCTAGAATAACTCAGCACCTGTGTTAGGGGCAAGCATTTCTTGTTTTAATGTTTTCTTATGGCCTTACCTTACCTTACCTATTTTAATGATGCTTTTGGAATCCCTTTTATCTGAGAAGTCCACAGAAAATGGGAGATTTTGAAGGGTATTTTCCCCCTCAAATTAATAAATGGAGAGAACACACACTGGGCCACAGAAATGACGTTTTAAAGGACTGTATACAGATTTTTAGTAGAGGTGGGAAAAGAAGAGAACATCATTAAAATTCTCCACACCCATCTATACCCCAAATCAGAATCAATGCTCTCACTTTAAAGGATCTGGCTCTGTGAGACAGGGTGAATAGGTAGACAATACAAGTGACTTGAAAAAAGTTTTGAGTTTTTTAGTTTCATAGTTTTGTTTATGTGTTAAATCTATATTTGAAAAAATAAGTAATGGCAAAGGAGTTGTAAAGTTGACCATTAACAAACTTTTTTTTTGTTTTTGTTTTTTGTTTTTGTTGTTGTTGTTGTTGTTGTTGTTGGTTTACTGAAAACAGGTCTTCATTGAAAAAAAAGTTGTGAAGCTGAGTAAAAGCCCTTATTTGTGAGAAAATAAGACATTTAAGGATAATGAAAAGAAAAATGTTTGGGGTCTGGTAGGTGAGAGGACAAAAGGCTTGAGGCAGAAAAAACAATCTAGTGTTCATTAGAAAGAGAGAATTTGAGAGCATAAAGAAAAGATCCCCACCATTATCTGTCCATATTCCTTATTAAAAATAATAAATTACTGTAAAATCTACATTGTCTCCATTTCCATCCTGTGTAGATCAGACTTGGGTCCTGTTAGCCCCAGCAAGGCAGCAAACAGGTCCCATGCCATTTCTGAGAAGCCAGCGAGGTGAGTGCCCGTGGAGACACCCCTCCTGAGGCCACTCATCTTAGGGGCTGATCTCCTCAATAATGCTGCCTTTCAGAGATACAATCTTCCTGACCCCATTTCTTCCACAATTTCAGAGATAATCTTCCCTTTTTTGTACTTCTGGGTAAATAGAAATACTAATCTTTCATCAATGATGAAACGTAAGGGCTCTGAATTGGGGAAGGGACAGAGAAGAAGCAGGCTTCACATGCCAGCTCCTCTCTCCATCACCTCTCCCAGATCCTATCTTATTTTAGGATTATTTCCGAAGCGTTACCTCTCTGAACTTCATGTTCTTTAGGTAAATATTCTGTGAATCGTTTTAGGTAAGGAAAGAGGGAGCATTTCATTCACCTACTTTTGTTTCAGAGCATAATAGTAGTAATAGCTCACATTTATTGAGCACTTACCATGTGCCACGTTCTGTGCTAACACCTAACATCTTTAGGCTCATTTACTCTTCCCTACAATGCTATGAGGGGTTCACTATCATTCTATACTCCAAAGATGAGGGAGCTCCTCCTCTCTGCCATTGTAGTACAAAAAGGTACATTGTGTAAATGAATGACATAGTTATGTTCCAATTATATTTAATATATAAAAGCAGTCACAGAACTAGATCTAGTTCAAGGGCCATTTTTTTTTTCTCTTTAAAGGTGTTTTTTTTTTAAAGATTGATTGATTGATTGATTGATGAGAGAGACAGAGAGAGAGCATGTGAGCGGGGAGAGGGGCAAGAGGAAAGGAAGAAAATCTCAAGCGGACTCCACACTGAGTGTGGAGCCCCTGAGATCATGACCTGAGCTAAAACCAAGAGTCAGAGGCTTAACCTACTGAGACACCAGGCACTCCTCTTTAAAGGTGAATTTAGAGTTGTTACTAGAATTTATAGTAGTCATTGTTTTGAAAAGAAGCAATCAGGGCACCTGGGTGGCTCAGTAGGTTAGGGTCTCTGCCTTCAGCTCAGGTCATGATCCCTGGGATGGAGCCCCGAGGTGGGCTCTCTGCTTGGCAGGGAGCCTGCTTCCCCTTCTCTCTGCCTGCCTCTCTGCCTACTTGTGATCTCTGTCAAATAAATAATAAATAAAATCTTAAAAGAAAAGAAAAGAAAAGAAAAGAAAAGAAAAGAAAAGAAAAGAAAAGAA